GTGTGGCTAGGATCAATCACTGCGTCAGAAACTCCTTCACTGAATAAAAATGACTACAAGATTGTGTATGTTTTTCTGGTAAGTAGATGAGCTTGTGCTTGTGAAGAGTTTGAATATGATAAATGTCCCTTTCTTTTTTGGTCATGTTTGTTTCCTTGAAGCTGAACTCACAAGTTTTTTGTTTATTTCGTTTGAGAAAGATAAACGGTGTAAAAGCTTTGTGTTGCAGTATATACAATGGAGACTTGAAAGCTATTTGACAGATGCGGAACAAAAATAGAAAACATTATTGGAAAACTGAAAGGTGTTTGTGAGGATTGTTTGGTAAGATGAAGGTTTATATAATATTAGTTCTTTATGCTTAATCTTAACATAGGATTTGATATTTGTTTCTCCTTTGGTTGTTTTTTATAAATTGGTTTTCAAAGTGAAACAATAGTTTTTTTAGTATGTTGTTCGACAGAGAGTTGTGCTTGTGCATGTAGGTGTGTAGAGATCAAGATAATATGTCAGCGTACAGCCAGGCCAAGAAACAGAGAATTGAAAATCTTGAACAGGTAGTCCATTCATGCCATACATTATGGTCATTTTCTTTGACCAATTGAACATGGCACCCAAAACAACCACATATTTATGAAGGTGATGTGACTGAGTAAACAAATTTTTAAAAACAAACATATATTTAGGCTTTTTGTGTTTCTACTTCAATTTCTTTTCTTTCTCTATTACATTAACACTGTGGATCAACATTTATTGAGAGATTTAATTATTAGCTCCCAACAGTGATAGTTTAGTAAGGTGACAATGTACATCACGGCATGAAAGTGAAATATATGTTGTAAAGGCACGTTTATCTGTGCACTGTCCATGTCCATGTGCAAGAAAAATGCTTAATTGCATGCACATGCTGAGCTTTTCTGTACGTGGGGCCATCCAAAGTGGACCAAACAATTATATCTCTGCTTCTTTTGTACATTTTGAGTCTCCCAAAATGATTCCTGAAATGCATCATGTGCAGCAGTTATGTGTCATTGGTACGTAAGCAAAATTTATTTTTCTTTTCACATCTCTATATTATATGTATATTTTTACTCAAAAAATACTTTAAAAGTTATCTGCAATATTCATGTGTCTATGATGTTTCATCATCATTGAGTTGCGGATAGCATTTATGAAGGTGTAATTTTCATAAGAGTGGACCACTCAAAATCTTTTTTTTTCTTTACTTAATCTAGGGTTTTGTCTTACTCTTTTGTTTAAGCGTTTCCTTGTTACAACAATTTTCTTCTTCGAAAACTCCCTTCACATTATAATGATTTTCATCACTGTCATTTTCTTTAAAACTATGGATAGTAGACAAAATGAAATAATTTACCATTTCCTCTCTGTTGTACCAAGGAATAACATTAAAAAGATCTTTAACAAAAACACTGATATTCTTTCTTAAACTTTTTTTCCCAGAAGAGAATTGAATTTTAGATCCACGAAGAAAGGGCCTTAGCCTCCATTTTATAATAAGAGGAGAAAGTTCCTTTCAACGTTTTACTGGATGTGGGACTTCTCCTTCACATTTCTCTGTTCATGTTTTTCACAGATTTCTCAGATCACTGTTAGAAACTCAAACCTTACAAGGGAATAAACAGATAGACATAAAAGGGTATTCGAAGCCTATCATGAACGAAAATACACAGACAGAAGATAAAATGACAGACATCTTCCGAGAAAGAGCCTGTCGGAGACACTAGTTAAGCAAACAAGAGTGAAAAATCTTCTTATGATATTCATATTGTATATATGTACTGTAAAATTTGGCTAAAGCGATTTCATAGTTTTGCATGTTTGAGATGTTGAAGTTGCAGTGCAATTTTGGTATGAAATTTTTTTATTTATTTTTCCTTAAACCATTTTCCAATTTCCGGCAAAAGGTGTTATGGGCGGTGAGAGGGGACAGAACGAAGGAGATAACGATAACAAAGTCTTTTTTTATTTGTTTTGCTAATTAAAATATAATCAATTCTAATTTTTAACCATTGAGATAATTTGATTGCAAATTTAAGGATTAATAATTTCAGTGAACTCAGATAATTTTATGTGATTCTTCACACCCTGAAATCCACCTGAATAAAAACTGCATGAACTGTAAATGACATCGGCAAAATCGAGAAAGAGGTTGAAGTGACTAAAATATTAGATTTTGTTTAGAAGTTTATTAAAGTTAATATAATTAGTTTTTAACTGTTCAAAATGTGTGTCTGAATTAACTAATTAATGGATTTTAAATTACGTTGTGTCTGAAGAAGAATCAACTTTTTAAAATAAAGACTGCGTTGGAACAGATAGTTGTTTTACTGTATATGACAAAGATCTTAGTTTTATCTACACTTCAAATTATTTGAATTAGTTTAGTCTGAAAATCAATCACATTTAATGTTTATTGTCTCCTTTTAAATATTTGTTTCAGGAAAATTAACTCAAATCTATTTTCAGAAATTCTGCATCATATTGTTTTTTAAACAGTTGAATCTTTTGAAGTTTTTTTTTAAAAAAAATTTAGTTATCATTTTAAAAGTTTAACACTACTAGAAAATCGTTGAATACCGAAGGATAATTACCGAAGGCCAGCTGCCCCTCGGTAAAAATGGTAATACCGAAGGATTTTTCGACGGTCAAAAAAGTTGGTCATTACCGAAGGCTTTTGGCCCTCGGTATTACACAGAGGATATACCGAAGGCTTTTGGCCGTCGGTATATGCATTCACTTAATGAAATCTGAATTTGGGATTTCCCTCTTCCATTTTCCCAAATACTTTCCGAAGAGCTTGTCCCAATCTTTCACTCCCGTCCCCGCTTTCCACTCTACCGTGCCCTAATCTCTACCTCCCTCTTACATTCACCTTCCGAAACCATCATTGCCATTGATTGTGAAGTTGTGGAGCTGCTATTTCTTTACGACGGTGGTTTGGCGGCGTCAGGAGGTGTTGTCGCGGGGTGGGCAGAGCTTGTAATTGCCAAGGGAGGCTAATCCAGGGGTTGTGTGACAAAGTGCCTTTCGGTGCGTGAGAAGGGTTGCACGACAGAGGGTATTCGAGGGTTGTGGCTACCGTAGAGGTGAGTAATTGGTTCCTATTATTGCTTTAAATTAAGTAGCTTTTGGTGGCTGCCCTGTTTGTGATGCATGTGTGAGTTAACCTGAATATATGTGTATTGGTTTTGGTTGTCATTGGAGATTTTGTTTAACACTAAATATGATTGGAAAATTATTGGAATTGTAGTGGTGCGTTGAAGGTGGAGTGAAGCGTAGTGTAGGGAAAAAGTGTGGTGTTAGGAGGCTGTCTTCGTCCAGGGAGCTGGTTGTAGCGTGGAGGTAAGCTCTTTGTCTCTGAATGAAGCTAGCATTGGTGTAGAATTATGGTTAAATGTTGAACAAATGTCGTTGCATTACTTAAAGAATGAGATTGTATTATTAGAGTGTTTTGAGTTCATCTTAGGAATTACATTGCTTGTATTACTGTTATGCATGTTTGGTAAGGATTGAAACCACAGCTATGGTCATATTAGGTTCAATGCTATTTTTTCTTATATTCCAAGCTATGTTGCATGTGTCAAATGTAGTGTTATGGCCATATTGGTAAAGGGTATGAAGGTTTTAAATGTATTAAAGTCCTGGACATTTGATTCAGTTTTGTTTAAGTATATTAGAATAAATGCTGTTATGAAACTGGTGATGATATCATGGTATGTGTGCATGTGATATAGGTACTTAGTTAGTTGATACCTTTGATTTAGGTACTTAGTTAGTTGTTACCTGTGTTGTTGATTCATTTTCCAGTTTTAGGTGTTTGCTTTAGCCTATATAAAGG